TTTTTCATTCTCCAATCTTATCCACTCTCTTAACCATTGTAGCATTGCCGCCTCATAATTGGAGGTTTGGGAGACCCCATCCTCCTCTCTGTTTTTTTGTTTTTTTGTCGCCTTGCAAGTATTTCAGTTTTATTTCAGTTTTCTCCCCTGCCAAATAAAATTTGAGAGTTGTTTTCTCCACAGATGAAATGGGTTGTTATTCATTATAATTGGGATATTTTGAAATAGGAATACAAATATAGTTAATACCATCCTTTTAATAATTGCTATTCGCCCCATCAATGAGACTTTTAAATGTTTACATCTCTCTAAATTTTTCTTGATTTATTTCCCTTTTTTCTCGGGGAAGTTCTTCAGAGGCCTGAAGTACTGTATAGCAGCTTTCTATTATGAATCCCTTTATTTGTTTCTTAAAAATATTCCATTCATTTCAAGAGAGAAACTATTTAATCACATTTTTTCTTCTTCATTACCTGAGGTTCCAAACTTTTCCATGAGACAATTGAAAATTTGTCCTTTTAAAGCTAGAATTCATAATAAAATGCACAATAATTAACAAGAAGCAGGCCAGTATGAATCATGTCATTCATCTCAGCTTTAGTGCAAAAAAAAAAAAAAAGAAGAAGAAGAAGAAGAAGAAGAAGACAAATCTGCAATGATTCAGTTGTTGACACAGAATAGCTGAGCAGTGCTAATCGGTCTCAAAGAGGAGTCCTTTCCTCATAGAGCAGAACTGGGGAGCTTTTGTCCCTCTCAGTGTTTTGGGCTAGAACTCCCATAATCCTTGACCAGGTCGACTGGGTTTCTTGAAAACCTAGGAAAAAGATGTACAAGTGGAACAGGGGCAGGAGACTTGGCTTTTCCAGCTCTTTTGGACTTTAGATCCCCATGATTCAAGTCAGTAGGGCAAATGGCGAAGGATAACTATGGTCAATGGAGGCTATACCCTAAAGCAGCCATTCACAACCTCTTTTTGGCCACAGTCCTTTCAGGAGCTCTTCTCGGGTTCCAGGGCCCCCTGTCAAACAAGGATACAACACAAATAGATAACTTGTCACATTTTTCAGTCTGTGGTCCCCTTAAAATGTGCGCTAAAGCCCCAGTTGATAATGGCTGTTCTAAGTATTTGAAGGGCCAAATTTTATCCCATTTGTGTCCTAAAAGCTGCACAGACAGCTAGCACAACTGTCCCTGCTTCAATAGAAGCATCCATCCTTTGGGGACATCAGCAGCCATTAACTCATTTGCTGCTCTGTCACTGAAACTCTGCTGATTGTGCAAAAATCCACCCACGTTCTAAGCACTTCCTCAACATCTACAGTAAGTGGTACTTTGCCAGGACTCCTGTTTTCTACTTGTTTTAGCAGCTTTTCCTAGTCTGCTGCCCAAGTCTGCTGGTGTAATTCACTTCCAGATTTTCTAGTCTGCTGGTGTAATTCACTTCCAGATTTTGGCCACACCGTGTTCAGACCGCAGTAGGTTGAAGGGGTGTGTGGCAACTGTGGACCCCAGCCCTGCTTCAGCTTCTACAAATTGGAATAATGGAGGTGTCTGTGGTTGAAAGGAAGATGAGCCCAGAGCAAAAGGAATCAAGGAACAGACAGATGATGGCAGTGGGAACGAAAGGGAAGTTACCTTAGGAAAAACTGTCTGAGAAGAGAACTTGAGGCCCACCCACTGAACTACAACCCTTCTCTAGTTCCATGCATGTTTTTATAGATGCTGCAGTGTTTCCTTGCAGTAACAGATATGCTATCCTCATTCTGTCTATGCTACAGGAATTATTGGGGGGGGGAGTATCAAAAAATACTGTAACAAGAGAGAGGGAGAGAGACCCTGGAAAGAAGAGCAGGATGTTAGTATCTAGTTTAGGGAGGAGAAACTAGTTAATTAGTTTAAGCTGGAAAGGTCTGTGTAAAGGAGGCTGCTTGATCCTTGCAGTAACAGATATGCTATCCTCATTCTGTCTATGCTACAGGAATTATTGGGGGGGGGAGTATCAAAAAATACTGTAACAAGAGAGAGGGAGAGAGACCCTGGAAAGAAGAGCAGGATGTTAGTATCTAGTTTAGGGAGGAGAAACTAGTTAATTAGTTTAAGCTGGAAAGGTCTGTGTAAAGGAGGCTGCTTGATGGGTAGGATGTCTAACAAGAGAGAGGGAGAGAGACCCTGGGAAGAAGAGCAGGATGTTAGTGTCTGGTTCAGGGAGGAGGAACTAGTTAATTAGTCTAAGCTGAAAAGGTCTGTGTAAAGGAGGCTGCTTGATGGGTAGGATGACAGCAAGGAGGAAGCATCAGAAACCAAGAGGGGAGTTTCCCCACTCTTGGCTCCGGCTTCAGCCCTGCTCTCCACTAGCACTTCACAAACAACAGACGATCCCAAAGGCAACTTGGCTCTCTTCACTACAGCAACTTTTGTTGCTAATTCATTGTCATTATTACCATTGAACGGAGTTATTTCATGTAGCAGCAATGCTGCCATGGAGAGCAATGCCATTAAGGAAACCCCTTAGAATTCATAAGCATAAGCTGCTAAGGCTGAAACTGAACAGCAAAACTCATTCTGTGAGGGTTCGACTTTGGGCTCCTTTTTTCGCTCAAATAAGTCAGGAGATTTATGTGGTTTTGAAACAGGTGTAACATTTATTGGGGTGTTCAACAGGTAACCAGTGTCAATGAAATTAATCCAACATTTATCTCCTTCTGACAATGGGTCAGCAAGGGGTTTCCAGTCTTCATTCAGGAATGGGTTACCTTCACCCAAGTTCCATGGTCCCGGCCAGTCTAGCGATGGGTTTGGGTTTCGTGTAACGGAGTTATTTCATGAAGCAGCAATGCTGCCATGGAGAGCAATGCCATTAAGCAAACCCCTTAGAATTCATAAGAATAACCTGCTAAGGCTGAAACTGAACAGCAAAACTCATTCTGTGAGGGTTCGACTTTGGGCTCCTTTTTTCGCTCAAATAAGTCAGGAGATTTATGTGGTTTTGAAACAGGTGTAACATTTATTGGGGTGTTCAACAGGTAACCAGTGTCAACAAAATTAGTCCAACGTTTATCTCCTTCTGACAATGGATCAGCCAGTGGTTTGCAGTCTTCATTCAGGAATAGGTTTCCTTCACCCGGGTTCCATGGGCCCGGCCAGTCCAGCGATAGGTTTGGGTTTAGTGTTTGTCCTGCCTCACCCTCCAGCAGGGGCACGGTGTCATCATCCCCACTGTCCATCCACAAGGGGTCTCTGGTGGATGTGTGTATTTTCCAGGGTCCCCCCTGAATCCCCTCATCCTCATTCTGCTCACCCTCCATTCGAGTCTCTTCTCTTTCTCTCTCTCTCTCTCTCCCTTCTCCTTCTCCTCTCTTAATCTTCACCTCCACTCCTTAGCCTCTGCCTCTCCCCAATACGAGGGTCTGGGGGAATCTCTCTCCTTTTTCTGTAATCGGCCTCCTCTCTCGAGACTCTTAGTCTCTCCCACGCTCTGGTCCAGGGGTCCTTCATCCAGACCCATTCCCTGCCTGGCGGCAACTGTTCTTCCCCCCTCTTTATATCTGTTACCCCGCCTCTATCTCCACCCTCTTCTTCTGCACTACTCCCGCCATTTCCCTCTCAGTTCTTTCGACTGTGTCTGTCTCCGGCTGCTCCGTTCTCTTAGGGCAGCAATGGCGAACCAATGGCATGCGTGCCACAGCTGGCACACAGAGCCCTTTCTGCGGGCACATGAGCCGTAAGTCACTGGATCGCTGCTCCCTCACCCCCGCAGCCAAACCTCAGGAGGCGGCTGCAGCCACGGTGCTGGGGTTTCAGTGGAGCAGCTGGTGCTGGTGGCAGATCTAGAGTGGGGTCTCGAGGCACCTCCGTGCCCAGGATTCCCCTTTCCGCCACCACTTCCAGTTCGACCACCGCTACTTCCGGTTCTGCAGCAGCAGCACACTAACCACTGAGGTCCGTCCCCCCAGTTTGGACACTCGGGCCCAAAAAGGTTCACCTCCACTGTCTTAGGGGGTGAGATGGGCATGGTTTGTATTCCGCTGTGAGGGGGAGGGACAGCACTCCGGTGAGAGGGACACTTCTCTCATCCTGTCTCACATATTTAAAAAGAAAAATATATATTTTACAGCTTGAAATTGGTAGCAGCTTCCCATCATTGCCCCATTTTACTCCAGATTCTTACATTCAGAGTAATGGGGTTGAGAGTTAAAACCAACACTCCACTTCCCACAAAGATATGCTCAGAAATACAGGCTACCTGGCTGTCATGAATTCAACTCCCTCCTGTGCCTACTGGGCAAGCTGTACAGCTGTTCCAAAGCACCTCCAGGAGCAGGGACTGGCAAACCACTTCTGAGTATTCCTGAACTTAGAAAACCCTGGAAGGAATTGCCGTATGTCAGAATCGATTTGATGATGTTATTTGTTATTTTATTTGTTATTTTGATGATAATGATGACTAAAACGCAAATCAGCCTTTTTCCTTTGTCTTGATTTATTGGGAACCGGCTATAGTTATCAGTGACTAAAGAGGGAGGGACACTCTGCACATGCCCACATTCTTTTCCTGGGGTGGGGATGCCATCACGAAGTTGGCAGGGGCTGCTGACCGTTTAGGCCCTGCCTGACCGTACTGCCTCCTGCCAACCGAAGCGTGCAACCCGCCACAAGCGTGACGACTACATCTCCCATCAGCCGTTAACTTCAACAGGGCCAATGGTGAGAAACGACGGAAGCTACAGTCCAAAGGAGTCGGGCCACATATTCCCCCGCCTTCTTCTGCCGGGCACCACCCCTTCTCCCGAGTCTTTTCCAGGGGACTTAGGATAACTGCGCCGAGTCCCATCCAACTCTGTCGGCGCAGGAAACCAGAACTGAGGTACCCGCTCCTCAGCCCTTTCGCGTCCAAGCCCTGAGCCCCGCCCCTTCTCTCCGTAACCCCGCCCCCCGCTCTCTTGATTGGTTCCGCCGACCCATGTTCCCGCCTCCTTGTCAATTCTCGCGAGAATCTCGAGAACTAAGAAAGCGAGGGGGGGGAAGCCCTACACCAGAGCATAGTCTTGGGGGCCGCAGCTCGAGACTGGGGAGAGAGAGAGAGAGCCCCGGGAGTGGCGTCGGGAGGCGAAGGGACGCGGCGTCTTAAAGTTGGTGGGGCTTGAAAGCGGGCGTCTCCACTTTTGTTCTCCCCGCTTCTCCAGTTCCCGAGGTGAGTTTTTGGGCTGTTGCCTTCACTCCTCTCACCCGCCCTCCGCTTTCTCCTCCTCCCCTCGAGAAAAACTGAACTCCTTCAAGACTTGCGAGGAGGGCTCCGCGCCGTTCTGATTGGCAGGTCTGTTGCGCCAATGGGCGCAGGGACGGGAGGAGAGTGGCGGCTGCGTGGCCAATAAGAGAGGAGAGTTAAAAGCAGGAGCCCTCCCCTTTTCGCAGGGGTGGGCGGGACTTGGGTGGCAAGGAAGCGGAGGCGAAAAAGGGGGGGCCCGGGCGGTGGCCGGGGGAGGGGGAGGGGCGTGCTCGCGGAGTCTGAGGCGATGTGGGCGACCCCCGGGTTGGCGGTGGAGGGAGGAGGCCTCGGCCTCGGCGTGGGCTGAGACGGGGAGCNAGGGGAGGAATGAGGAGGTGCCACCTCTTTCTCAGGGAAAGCTGGCGCGGGGCGGGAAGAGACGGTCCCTGGGACAGTGGTGGCCCTAAGGAGAGAGTTGGGCGAGGAAGCTTGGCTGAAGGGGTGAAGAAGCCTACAGGATTCCTCACAGTGTGTGTGTGTGTGTGGGTCTTAATAAAAGTATAGGGCTTGGCAAGGGTTGAGAGCGACGTCCCCCCCCCCTTCGGCCACTCTTGGGCTTCTTTGGAGGTGTGGGCTCTGGGCCTTGTGCCCCACTTTCCCTCGCCAGCCCAGCCGGTTCAGCACACACGCCCGCCCGTCCGTCCGTCCGCCCACACCTTCCTCCTAGTCCCTTCTGCTGCACAGAAGGCGTCGAGGGTAAGAGAGCAGAGAGGGTGCCTCGAATAGGTCGGAGGGCCACCACCCAGCAGGAATGGAAACGAGGACCACCTGGTGCCCACTGCCAAGACTTTCTCCTTTCTTTCTCTCTTTCTCTCTTTTTAAAAACGGGCACAATGTACAGTACCTGGCTTGCCCCTGCCTAGAGGAGCAAGTGAAGAAGTAGCTGTGCCTTGGCATAATGACTCCCTTACTGGTTTGCCCCTGAAACATCTTTTATGCTTGCAAGGAGCGTCTGACGGTCTTGGTGATGGAACCAGTGCCTTCGGCGTCCTTCAGTCTCGAGAGACTATGGTAACCAGTGCCAGGCACTGCCCAAAGAATGAGAGTACATGAGTATAGTATGCAGAAGCAACGTGCATAGACAATTCCATAGCCTTCTTTAATCTGGGTCAGGAGGGAGAGTATTGCTGCTGCAACTGCAGAAAACCTTCGCTCTGAAAAAGGTGTCGGCCCATGTGCTGGTTGTTCCATCTTGATAACATCCCATTTCGAATCTGGATTAGGAAGCACTCTCAGCCGCAACACTCATTCTACCAAAGCAGTGGAAGTAGCTCTAAAGAGTTCTTTTTCTGAGCAAAGAGGAAGTTGAGTTTGGATCTTTCTGCACCACTTAAGGGAGTGAATTAGTGGAGGCAGTGGGTGCGCCTCACTAGATTTGGGAATCATGACAGTGAAAGTGGCTCCAAATATTAGTTACTGCCAGCTCCACTTTTGTGTCTGCACATGGTGTTCAAGAAGTTTAATCCTCTGTACCATTTTCTCAGTGGGTAATAATATTTGATTGGATAGTAAGTTGGAGTATCTGGCTCTGGAACCAGGTATTCAGACTTTGTTTCCCTATTGTTCTTCTTGGGAGAAAAACCCAGCCTGTATGGTCTTGTGCAAGCTACAAAGTATTAGAGTACCACCAGAAAATGGGACCAGTAAACCACTCCTTGCCTCTTAGAAGAGCTTGGGAGGGGCCACCATATGTCAGGGTTTGGTTGATGACAATAATATTAGTCCTGAGAGAGCAGAGCATGTTTTTTGATGCTGTTGTTTGCTCACACATGGAGCAGCTACCTCTACTTGCCTTTCTGCTTATTGATGCTATGTGCAGCCCCCATTACTACCCAAGTGGAAAGGGCAAACAGGTGAGTCATGGTTGCTCCTTTAAAATGTCATCTACTTTTCTACTTTGAGAATGGATGGTATGCTGGTACTGGAGTTGGCAATAATGCAACGTACAGTATTGGAGAGGGTATTGTCTACTGCTGTGTAGTGACAGCTACATAGGGGGTGATGTTGATAAGACCACTGAAGGTTAGGTGGGCTTTGCAACTGGCCAGTAGTGTCAGTTTCTACTTGCAGACCTGAATCTCTGTGTAAAAGTGGGTAGTATGATGAGTAGTTCCTTGTTCATTTGGCAGTGTACAGTCTCTGTGTTTCACAAAGATAATTCTAACAAGTAACTTAAGTGGAGTGCAGAAGGCAAAATAACTAATTATCCCACAAGTAGATTAAAAAAATGTATTTGAGGAATGTTGATGTCAATCTCATGCTTTTACTCTTGTCCATCAGCTGCAGCTATTTTCAGTTATGTTTAAAGAGTGAAGAGTACAGATTATTATTTTTGACTTAAACTAATGAGAACTTTTTGTATGGAGCAGTTTATTCTGCTTGCTCTTTATCTGCAGCATTATATTGAAATTGTATCTTTCATTCACTAGGAAATGTAGCATATTGGGAGTCAGGTAGCACTTAATTGTCAAGCCATCTGTTCTTACTGCGCTAGATCTTTAAAAAGCAAGAGCCACAGTACAGCATGGAACTGAAAGTTCCCTGCTTGCTAGTGTCCTGTTGTTTAATATGCATAACTGAGTCAGCACATTTTTAGATTTTGATAGTGTGTATATATTTGATAGTGTGCATATATTTGGTATATATCCCTAATATCATAAAAGTGAAATAGTAAAACCTTACAGCTCTTGTGATACACGTGTTGGTTCAGAAACTTCACTGATTATTTCAGTTACAGAAGTTCTGTAGTCTGTATTCTCATTCACCCCAAGTACTAGATATGAGAGTAAAGTTGAGCTAGAATGGTCTGGTTAAGCAACTTGTGACTGAGTTGAGATCTGAACTGTGGATGTCCAGGCTCACTCTCATAGCTGTAGCACTGTTTGTTCCTTTTTATCTGTCCATGTGGAAAAATGAGTTGACAACAAGTAAAGCAAATGAGAGGTGAAAACTCCTACAGCTCAAAATAAAGAGGAGGTTTGAAAAATATAGGCTGAAATCCTGTTGCGTAATTGCACATACAGAAGGCAAATGACTTATCAGCCAGTCACTTATAGCTGTCAATTAATGAGTTGCTGTTGGGGTTCTCCATCGATAGGGAGAATATATTCAGAAATGAACATACTGTTATGCTAATAAACTTTATTTTGTTTACTTACCTGAAAAATAAGAGCTACAGTGACTTGGTGGGAGTACTTTATTTATTCATTCATTCGTTTGTTTGTTTATTTATTTATGTATGTATTTATTTATCTATTTATCTTATATGTCACCCACACTATCCAAAGGTCTCTACTTTGAAGCCTAATGACAGTGAGGATGGTGGCCTTGAGTAGAATTACTGTATTGTGTTAGCATTTCCTATCACTGCAGTAATCCTTATGAGGATCACTGCAGAAGAAGAAAGGTCTGCTTATGCAAGTGGGACCCGAGTGTGTGTCCATACATGAGTATGTGTATCTGGCCTAGTCCTAGCTGTTGCCCTCTTTGTATGCCAGAGAGATTGCCCACTCCTGACCTACTCTGAGTTTGTTGTGTACTCACCACTTTTAAATTAGTAAAATAGTCAACTTCAGTATCTTTCAAGAGATAGAAACATCCCAGATGCCTATGAGCTTGTTAAAAGGATGTAGTATTCTGTTTTTCTTCAACCTGTTCAGGAAGAGTACTTCTTAGTTTATTTGGTTTGTTCCTCTCTATGGCTAATGAGAAGCTTTGTGATCTCACATCTCCATAAATCTTTATGCTTCTGCGATCCTTGTCTAGATGAGTAAGAGAAAATGAGTATGGTGCCACTGGCTACGTATAGTCTCTTGTCATAAACATTAGTGACATATGCAAACTTGCCTGTTTGCCCTAGAGGTAATGTATCTTGCTCAGTGAAACAAAGAGGTTGCCATTTTCAACACATGGAGCTGCAAATTACTTTTTTGTACTATGTGGTCTGTATACCCAGTTTGTGCTTGTCTTCTGGACACCATTTATTTACATTTTTTTAAAAAGCAAAAACAATCAGAGTATTTTTCTGGAAACATTTTATAGACACACATGGTGCTGTCTGCATTTAGTGCAGTAAAGGGGGAAAATATGTAAGTTTCCTATTTATGTCCATTTAAAAGCATTATAGAAGATGACACTTGGAAAATAATATTCTCTTTTTAGTAACCCAGACCCATGTCAATTCACTGTTACTGCTTTTAGAGCTAGATGAATGGAAAACCAGAATTTCAGAACTTGTTTGGTCCAGATTTGCCAGTAACACTATTAAAAAGTGCTAATAATGATTTAAATCCTGTTGCAAATTGCCATAAGTTAAGAAATATCTGTAGGTATTATCTGTTGTACATTGACTCAGAATGCAAAAGAGAATGTCTATTTAGATTTCTTATGTTATAGCAAATCACTTCCAAAGGTTACATCATTTGTGTAACTATGTAACAAATTGTCTGCCAATAATTATGTGTCTTTTTACAGTTATGAGGATCATGAAGGACACAGCATGTACAGAATAGAGATATACATGAACAAAGAATGTGCTGCTGTCAGATCATCTCTTTCATAAAGTCTTGAATTTACACACTAGTTGTATAACTATAAGTGGTCAGGAATTTCATGCAGGCATGTAGCAAGCTGGTAGAGGAAACATTAAGTGCCCCATCTACCTCTGTGGCCAATAGAGAAATGAAGTTTTACCAGAGCAGGAGAGCACCCTCGACTGTACCTAGCATAGAAATGTGACAGCCTACTTTGGACAAGATAGCTCTCCATAATGTTGACTTCCAGGTTTGAGAAAGCTCTGCATAAAGTGTTGTGTCACCTTACCTTCTTACCCATCACCTGCAGTAATAGCAAAGTGACAGCAAAGTTAAGTAGCTGAGAGGGCTACAATTTTAGCTTGCACAGTGTCTTAGAATAACATTTTAGGG